GAAGAAAATCACTCAAATGTTCCGTGGCTTAAAATCTTCCGGCACCCATAATTCTCACAAAGTCGTTACACTTTCAAAGTGTTCGGCAAAAGAGGGGAAAAAACGACGAGGCGTATGTAACACACAACGTCATAAAATATGCTGGGAAACGAGGAGAAACGGCGTCGGAGATTTATAGAGCGCCGGCACTGAGTGCGCCCGAGCACCCGCTCACAGGCTACAGCAATATCGCCTTTACGCCCTTTCTTTTATTTTCATTTATCTCTTTGTAAGAGGAAATCATTGAGTGCGCGCGATCATTGAGAATTATGTAAATTAAACAATTACCAATGTCAAAATATCGTGTCTGCTTAGCCCTTTGTCCCCGTAATATGTCACTCTCGGCCGTTTATGTCCAAGGCTGCGATATTATCGAGCTAATAAGTCGTCGCTCACATTCCACAATACACGACTAATGTGTTGATTGGCACCTCCCCCAACCCCGCCCGTCACACGCACTCTCTCTCTCTCTCTCTCTCTCTCTCCGTTTTTAAACTTTTATGGACCAATGTTGAACTGGAGAAATGTCGAGTAATTTTGAATTGCTTTGAGATAGTCATTGCAGGTATTCACTTGGTCCAAGTGAAACGAGTTACGATAATTCAAGGCATAATAATGCTACGACCATAAAGAATCACGAAATACTTAAACGGCAATAAAATAAATGCCGATGCTTAAGCAAGTAAAGCAATTGGTTACATTGTCTTGTAACAGCCATCAAAACGGTCGAATTGACACCGGTAATCGTTAAGCAATTATTCTCACGTTCCGCGACTCTTGTGAAAATTTTAGAATATTGAATACTCCTAAAAAAATATTTAAAAACCCAAATTATCCTTGTTTTTTTCAAGATTTTTATCGCACACAAATGATCGACAATATCCAAGAATCCTTTATGAAACATCGAAATCCAGGGCCAAACAATCTTTCATCACATTTCATCTCCTCGACGCTTCCAACCTTGCTAGACATCCCTTATTCCTCCATCTAACTCACTCACACCACCTCCCCCTGTCCGCGATTCTTCATCGTCGTATATTTTGCGGTTGTAGGGCGATCGCCTTTATCCCCCCCCCCACCCCACCCCCATCCACTAAAATGAGCGTGAATACTTTGCGAGTTTGGCGTTCCCCCTTATTTACCTGGTGCTCTTCCGTCGGCATTGGCGGTGGTAACAGCGGTAGTGGTTGCGGCGTTGGCGACGGTAGCAATGGTGGCGGTGGTGGCGGCGGTGGCCGCGTCGGCGCTCGAATCAATGGCCCGTAAGGAACACCGAGGCGTAAGAGCGTGGCTTTAACATCGGGTGGAGAAGCACGAGTGGGATATAATGCGCGGACGCCGTGTTTTCGGCTCTTTTCCACCACCGCGCGATTATCCCTCTCACGAGCCGAGCGAAAAGTTATGGTTACTCGCCCTGGCGTGACTCACGGCAATTAAATGGAGCCTCCCCCTATGGCCTCTGGTACCTTACGGGAAATTTACATGGTGCTCCACGGCACGATAACGAAGTGTGCTTTTTTTTTTTACGTTTCGTGTTTGCGTTCGCATCGATGATTATAGCTCGGCGGGACTGGGCTCGAAACGCTTTTCGTTCGGCCGGGAGAACATAGTGGCGCGAACGCGTCCTGGGCCCCGACACTCTAATTGATCGTGTCTAAGGCGAGGGTATCGGTGCCGTCTTAATACGTGCGGCAATTCGAGAATTAATAAGTCGAGGCTGCCGAGTCCAAGGAACATTCGAGCGACTGCGAGGCGCTGAATACAAAGGACAGAAACGAATCTTTATCGTTATAATGCCTTGCCAGTTTGCCACTCGATAATCGCCCGTTACCGAGAGCTGCTTCAGGCACATAATCATAGGAACATTATGTAAATGCGAGGAGGATGACACGAGAGGTCGGACACGGGAAAAAGGAGAATAAATTCAATGAATGGATAGTATAAATAGTGCTGGCATACTATGCGCATGATGAAAGGATTGAGGAGAGACGAGAGGCCGCAATTTAACGTCGCTGCGATACGCGATTAAATAAATAAATAAAGCAAACTGGGCGATTAATCGGGCCGACGAAGAGACTGGCAATGGACGCGTAACAACGTCGCCTACGCAGCGACGATTCGGACGATAATTCATGCATAAATTTCTATAATCAATAGCCGTTGGAGGAGCAGCGGCTAAACATTGTTAAACGGCGTAACAAGCCCGTGAGGCCGTAATCGGCCTGGCAATCCTAAAAGAGCGAAAGACTCGCGCTTGGTGGTTTGAGACGGTTGGAGGCGACGACGAGGTGAATGAGGTAGAGGAGATAGAGGAGGAGGTGGTGGAGGAGGTGGTAGAGGAGGTGGTAGAGGTAGAGGAGATAGAGGAGATAGAGGAGGAGGAGGAGGACGACGAGGAGGTGGAGGAGAAGGTGGTGGAGGAGGTGGTGGTGGAGGTGGGGGAGGAGGAGGAGATAGAGGAGATAGAGGAGGAGGAGGAGGTGGTAGAGGTAGAGGAGATAGAGGAGATAGAGGAGGAGGAGGAGGACGACGAGGAGGAGGAGGAGAAGGTGGAGGAGGAGGAGGAGGAGGAGGAGGAGGACGAGGACGAGGAGGAGGAGGAGAAGGTGGTGGAGGAGGTGGTGGTGGAGGTGGTGGAGGTAGAGGAGATAGAGGAGATAGAGGAGGAGGAGGAGGAGGAGGAGGAGGAGGTGGAGGTGGAGGTGGTAGAGGTAGAGGGGATAGAGGATGATGTTGATGACGACGACGATGATGATGCTGTTGGTGGGGCGGAGAGGGGTGTGAGGGAGGTTAGAGAACGACGGGATCAGAGAAAAGGCGAAAACACACTTGGAGGTAGAGCGAAGGAGCGCCCGAGGCGTTCGGCGCGTGTAGGCATACATCAGCAGGGGCGCAGGGGAGGGACAGGAGGTTTGTAGAGAAGCGCGTCTGGCCGGGTCGAATCGATCATCGGGAGCCTCGGCGTCGGCGTCGGCGTGCGTACGGCCGCCGCCATTCGCGCCCAGCACGAGACCGTTTAAGCCTCAAATCGGCCGTGACGACGGTGGTGGCTTCCGAGAAGGGCAGCCGTGCAAGAGTATCCAGACGTCGGGGACGCGGGCTTGTTTTATTCATTCGCCTCTCCTCGTTTTTGCGACTGGCACGCACTTCTGCCCAAGGCCTCGGCGCCGTGTTTATCCTAGAGGGCGAATCAACACGTGGTGGTGCGACAGCCGCTCGACTCGACGAGGCGCGTTGCCGTTGGCGCCAATCGCTATGTCGGCCATCTAATAATTATCAAGTGTACAAAGTGTGGGTAGGCAGAGCGAACGGTATGACGAGGTGGGGTGAGGCGCGGGACATGAATCGGCGGCCGATGAACGGGGACGGCGTCCGGGTATAAGGCGAGGAATTCTGAATTATGCATCAACTGGAATTGTTAACTCTAATATGAAATTATTTCTATGCCTGTTATTTTGCTGCTGCCACTACTGGTGGTGATGATGGTGGTGGTGGTGGTAGTGGTGGTGGTGGTATTGCCACTGCTACTACCGCTGCTGTTGTTACTACCGGCGCCGCCTCTGCCGCCGCCGCCGGCCGTATTATCCTTTTATTTCCAACGCGATAAGTATAAGTAATGACAAAACGATACATCTGCGCTTACCGTTGGTTATCTCGAATTGTTATAATGATGTATTATCAAAATCGGAGAGACGCTTCATATAATCACGATAAATCATCCCTACACTTTTAATGGAAATCCAATTAGTCCCGGATCATCAATTTAAATAATGCAGAACGACAGAGTTTATGACACTTGTCACCAATCAGCGATGCTGGTCAGTATTAAATTCAGTTGGGCTGCTGGAGATAGCGCTAATTTGATACTCCGGCAAAGAAATAGTGTGAGAAAAATATCGTTATGATAAACCTTATCAAACTTTGTAGTGCAACATGAAACGTGCATTAGCTACCGCATTTACTTTCGCCATAATAGCATTAATAGGAATAGCAAACTAAATACACTTCCTACATTTTTAAATATTCCACTCGATTGCTGTCACGAACCGCAGCTTACACGCTTTGGACGTTAAACTAATCAAGCGAAATAACCAGTTAATTATTCCAGTATCTTGGACCATTATTACTAATATGCGATAAGATTCCGCGAGCCATAATAAAAGGAGGCATAGACGTATAATAATAGACTTTCAACTAATAAGCGTCATCATGAGCCTTTATTATTTATAATTTCCAATTAATTCGGTCAAACTCGAATCGGCGCGTATTTTTGTACTTTTAATACGAGTGTATCTGCAGAGCGTTAGCCAACGGGAGAAAGTTCAGGCGGAGGCGTGAAAGGCGAAGCTTATATAAATATGAGGGATAATTAACGGGCGTAGCGCCTAAGCCGAAAGAGGGAACTCGAGTCCGAGGATTCGCACGACCATATGGAATAGAGAAAAGCCTTTCGCACGCAACATGCTCGTCGACAACATTTACGCGCACGAAGATACGAATCACGACATTGCCCGTCTATTTTTATTTATTTATTTGTCTCGAGCCTTTTATTCGTCTCCCCTTCGCTGCGCTCCAACGATAATTGGGTGTCGGTTATGTCAGGTAAACGCGTGCTTCGCTGCCGGGAGGTCGCGACGTTAATGCGCCGATGGGATCGTCGCGAGAGCGGTGCGAGACGGGCGATGAGCGATGGGTAATGGGTATGGGTAATGCCTATGTTTGTGTGCGTACGCGTGCGTGTAGGTGTGATTGTATTTGCCCGTGTGTGTAAGGGCGCGGGGGTGGTGGGGCGGTGTGTGTGTGTGGGGGGGGGGGGGACTCTTTAACGGGGGGGGGGGGGGGGGGGGGGTACTCTTTAACGAGGCGGATCGCTCACGCGGCCGTCCTTCACGGACCAGTGACTGACCGCGGGCCCTTGCAATAAGAGAAGAGGAAGCTGGAAACAAGCGACTTCTACTCACATATATCGATGCCGTGGACCAAGTGTTGGTGCAGGAGGGCGCACAGAAGGAGCTGTAGTCGGTAACCCATGACGCTTCTCTTGACGCTGCTGCGAATGCTTGTATCACACCAGCCGCTAATCATCGAAGTCTCATAACCGCCTCTGGAAAAAGTAACAAACATACGTGTGTTAGACCAATGCACAGTGCAGCACCATGCGTCATTAGCACTGTCCTCGTCTCGTTTCTCGCAGTGATACGTGCTCCCATCCCTGCTCTACCTCCTTCCCATACTCCCCCCCCCCATACCCCCAACCCCTCCCTGCCCCACACTCAACCATCCGCCATCCTCGTGTCTCTAACGAGCTCGAGCTGCTGCTCCTTTGGGAAATTGAATTTGACGAACGCTTCCCCCGAGATGGAGATTTTCGTTTTTTGTCGTTCTTAATGTGCCACCAAGTAGGTGGCGGGGTAAGGTGGGAAAAGGTGGAGAAAGGTAGGAGACAGATTCGCAGTAGCGATACTCGCGGTCATTTAACGAGTGGGGGCAGCCAGGATCGTCGGATTCGAGTTACCGTCCAAGTTGCCTCTACCTCGCTTCCGGCAATCCCGACCGACGAATCTTTATATGTGACCTTTGATAATTTTCCAGCTCGGCCCGAAAGTTCTTCACGCGGCGCGTCGAATTAACCTTACTTTCTCCGCAAGGACGTAGTCGTTACGGCATGGCGACCACAAGGGCCGGGAAATCATTGGCCATCGTCACCGACTCGTCGTCAATCATTAATAAGCCAGAGCGAATGACCCATCATCTCGATAATCAGCGTGGCTGGTACGAGCTTGAAACGGCCGTGGCTCGCTCGCAAGCTCGTAATGTGAAAAAGTTCGGCGGACGTCTCGGCGTCGTTTCCCGACTTTGCGCGATAATTTGCAAGACCGACGATCCGGGAGGAACAAGGGGCCGAAAGTATAGCCGAGGGTGTGGGGGGGGGGGGGGGGGGGGGGGGGGGAGAGGACGAGCGAAGGAAACAAAAACGCACGCCCCGGAAAGAAAAACGAGCCCCGGAGAAGTCGGAGAGGCAGTGAAAAGAGGATTTCTTCCCCAGGCATTTCGGGAGCTTAACTCCAGCACGCGTATATACCGCGCACATTAAGCGTCGGGGCAGTAGAGTGAAATGGCGCGCGCACCACTCGCCATCGCCCGCGAGCACTGATAGATGCGCAAAGCCTCCGTTTCCTATATATCTTCCTTGGCTTCTCTTTCACTCTCGCTCTTTTAGTCTGGGCCGGCCGCCCCCGCTGCCGCCGTTACTCTAACCATATATTCGTCGTTCCCCCGTAAGCGAATGGACAAAGAGGCACACATCGCGTCTAGCGTAACCTTTACGCGTCATTATCGAGATTACGATCGACGGTTCGAGTGAAGGCGAGGAAGTCGAGGAGGGTTGTGTACGAAATCTAAAGTTCTAAACGTCTAAAGTAGCCGCAGAGATTCGTAATGTCGACGAATCCGACGAGTTCGTCGCTCTCGGGGCTGCGTCGGGGCCCGTACAGAGCCTGACAAAACGTACGAAATTCTCGGTGATTGTGTGCACGTGCTTGCGAAAGTGACGATGTTTAGGGAAGAAGGGTCGTGATAAAGTAAGGGACGCCACTAATGATCAACTTTCATCGAAATATTATGCGAATTAGGCTTTTTTTGTTTTACGCGATAATGCCGGTTGCAAATGTCGTCAGCCAATGGGCGGCTTTGTTATTTGGGATCGGTCGAGTGGCGCCGCGTCAGAG